TGTTGTATGGCTTGATGGGCTACTGGAAGTTGGGGGCAGGGGTGCAGGTGGGAAGCACGGCCTGCTGCAGAATTCAGGATCATTGGGCCCTGTTGGACATGGCAATCAGTGGCAGGGGCAAGGACTGTTCTGACACATCCCTGCTCTCCCTGCAGCCACTTGGCCCCCCTGCTGCTGCCACTGCTGGAACTGTGACTGGCTCAGGACGAGCCCCTTAGGTCTATGTCTGACACTCCTGGATTAGAGCAGTGGTACTTGACCTACAGCACAAAAAGGGACTAGATCCTGGCCACAGTACAGGGGATTAATAGGAAGCAGCTCAGTACCTTCCCTTCCCCACCCTATGCCATGTCACTGATCCCCCTCAGCAGCCCTCCCTGCCCTCTCTATCTCCCCTGTCCCCCATAACAGGCACTGCTTAAACTCCCTCCCTTTTTCCCCTTCCCTCTCCTATAGGCAGCCACTGCTTACTGGAGGTAAGCTCTCTTCCTCAACTCCCTCTGACACTGGCAGCCACCTCCCTTTCCCCTCCCTCCCTCCCCTACCAAAGGGAACCAGTGGCTCCCAGTGCAGCTAGGTGATGAGCAGCCACTCTAAAAAGGTTGAGCCCCACTCCTTTAGAGTGCTCAAGCTGCACCAGGCTGTCTTGCTGTCAGTTTAATGCCCTCCATTATAATGTTCAACAAGTACTGGCAATATTAAACAAAAGCCCCAGCACTTGGTATTTTCAATAGGTAGATTATTAAACAGGTTGCTCTCCAATGAATACACAACTACAAAAAGCATGCATGTTAAAGTCCTTGTAACAATTATATGCATTTCAGCTGTATATACAAGCTACATATGACACACACTTGGGGATATGGCATATGCTCTTCATGATACACTAGTCTGTATGAAATACCTATGTCAAATGCCCACATGGTAAAGGATGCAAATAATGTTTTATTTTATGAAGTATACAAATACCAGAGTCAAAGTTTGATTTTCATCTTTAATATGCTCATGAATCTGTTATCAATACTTCTGTAAAAAGATATTACAGATTTACAGATTATTGCAGTGATTTCTAAGGAACATGGTCAACCTTGAGGCTGAAACTACAATATCATACACATTATTTTAGTCATCGGCACTATACACTACAGCATGGAGGACAATATCTCTTTTAAATAAAGATAAAGCAACATTTAACTGAAAAACTGTTAGACAGAAATAGAGCTTTCCTTCCTTCAATACTGTAACATATATCTATATCCCAAGAAGTACATTTTAAAAATACTAGTTTCTGAATGGACAGCAATAAAAAAAGTCATGATGAAAATTAATCAGTTTTGCCCATAAATGCTATAATGAGCAGCTGCACAGTTTTTCAGCAAGTCGTAGTTTTGCCAAGCTTCAGGAGGCAAAAGCCTAAAATGTAAAAGCTTCCAATTTGTCTAGCTAGTCCATTTCTCCTGGCTCTGGAGTGATTAATGACCCACACTGCTTTGCTTCAAGACAGTGCATCACTACAACTGTTCTTTGCTGTGGTGGATGCCATCAGGAAGACAAAATTCAGGTCCTTAAGATGCAAGGCCTAACAAAAAACCTCCAACAAATCCACTCGATACCACTATGTTCTGTTTGATAAATTCTGTTGACTGAAAAAGAAAAGAATTTGTGATGAACCATGAATTTAATGTGAGCATTACTACTTAGGTGAATAAGTAACAGGTGCTGAACTAAAAAGAAAAAGACAAGTTCTTAAAATTAAGTTTAATGGTCATGGATGATGGTATGGCACTACCTGGAGTCACTTACATTGCAGGCATTCTGAGCAAATCTTTAGCAATGCATTTCATTCACAACTGACAATGATACTCTTATGCAAACACTTTTTTTTCCCATGACAAGACTGCTGCACTATATATTTCTTGGGAAAATGTGAGCACTAAAGGTGAGACCAAACTAATTTAAATTTTAACTGAACACAGGAAAATGAATTGTCATTACAGGCTGTGGAAACCTAATACACTTTTTAGTATTTAACTGCTTTGGGATTGGTTTTGTACAGCTTGAAATGTTTTACAAATATACTTTAGGATAGCATCATACCATTTCATATGACTGTATGCAAGTAGTAACAGTAGAAGGTATAAAAAAACCAGGCATACACAATAAGGGGCCCGGGACATTTCCATCTTTACTATGATGTAAGAGCCATTTTGAAAATCAAAGACCAGCTATTTAGATAATGCAATGGTTCACAACTTTAAAAATCAAAGCTGTTTGAATATCAATTCTGGTATATCCATCCTATATTTTATCCTGAAAGGATACTGATTAAGCTACTTTTGGTTTAGAAAACTGTACACTAATTTTCTAAGTTGTACACTAACTGTACACTAATTTACTAATTTGTAACTATAGTTACAAATCAAAATCCAAGTTCTAGTTTAAAACAATTTGACAACCTAGGTATAACTTAGGGGCATTGGTGTGGCATTACTGATACTGTACAATACAAATTGCGTAAAATAACCAAAACATAGATATGCTGTATGACATTTTAAGTGTGCACAGAACAGTCCATATACCTCCAGGCAAACAACTCACTTTTTGTAATGTTTTAATGGTAAAATTAAGTCCTTAATGAGAAACTATTTCTAGGGGTGCACCAATAGAGATTTTGGGGGCTGATACCGATAGCCTATTTTTAAGGAGGCATATTAGCCGATACTGATCTGATTTCCAATACACCTGAGTGCAGCTGGTAAGTCTGTTGTGGTAGAAGGGGAGGGAAGGGGCATGGTGGGGGGTGGAGATCAATGTCCCCCACAGTGAGGGAGGGACTGGGGCAGGGACTGAGGTAGACGCTGCCCAGCCAGGACAGCCACAGGACAGAGCTGTAACTTGCCTGGAGGGGATGGGGGAATGGCTCCCACCACTGCATGCACCTTGGGAGCGCATGGGGGTGTGCCCCAAATATGTGCAGGGTGGGTGAGCTGCAGGTGTGGACTGGAGGAGGGGCTGCACCGAGTTCTTCTTGGCAAGGGCTGGGCTTGCGGTGGGCAGCAGCAGTGCTAGGTGGGGAGCTATGGGGGGGGCTGCAGCCACCCCAAATTTCGCTGTAATCCCCCCCAGTGCCCCGCCTCCCAGTACCACCACTGCCCACCCCAAGCCCAGCCCCTGTCAAGCCCAGTCCCTGACCTCCTCCGGTGGGCTTTAAACTAGGCTCGTTGGGGGAAGGGGAAGATGAGGGCGGAGGATACACCGGACCGGCACCCGCAACTATAGCCCAGCCCGGACCGGCAAACTCAGCGGACATACAGGTAAAAGAAGGGGACAAGGGGAACGCTGGGACTAGGGGGTCAGTAACCACATCTCCAGGAGGCCTGAAATGCCTCTACACTAATGCCCGTAGCATGGGGAACAAGCAGGAGGAACTCGCCCTCCTGCTGGCTGACACCAGCCCGGACATTGTGGGGATTACGGAGACTTGGTGGGACTCCAAGCATGATTGGGCGGTGAATGTTGAGGGCTATAGGCTGTACAGGAGGGACAGGATAGGAAAGAGAGGGGGAGGAGTGG